AACCCTATCATGTAGGTTTCATAATTAACTCCATTTTAGGATGCAAAACATAAGGCACAGAGAAGCTAAGTAACTTGCCCAATGCCACACAGCCCACAAGTGGCAGAGCCAGCGTACAAACCAGGCTGGCTGAATCCAGCACTAGTGCTCTTAACCACTGCGCCACAGTGCTTCTCCCTGGGTGCTGGGTGCCTACATCTACCTCCTCCATCAGGCAGGGAGAGCCGGGCATGGTGTTCCATTCATTTCTGTGTTCCCAGCTTCCCGCACAGTACCCGGCCCACAAGCCCATGCAAACCCCCTCCCCCCACCGCCCAGACACGAAACTAGACTATTTATGGAAAAACCCCTAATCCAGTGCAGTTCACCCCTGTGTCCTTGTCTCCTTTTCTTTCTGTCCTGATTTCTGATTAGGAAATTCTGTGCTGAGTCCTGTCCAAGGGACCTAGTGCAGTCTCTTTGAAGAGGAATAATAAAGAGCTTCTTCATGTTAGTTCAATTAAAAAGGAAGCCACTTTTTTTTCCCCATGGACAAGTTTGGAGCCTAATGATAAAATAGAGACGTATTATTTGTCATGACACCCTTTCCCATCATAAGGAAGGGGCTCCATTTACAAAGAAAAGAGTAATAGCAGAATTCAAAAGGCAACAGGGCTTCTAGAAGGTCCCTCCCTGGCCAGGCAGCCCCTGGAGGCAGCTGTCAGAGGAAATCGTGAAGAGGGAGCTCCCTGAAGGCATAGCTGGCTCCAGAGCTGTCCCAGAGGGCAGCGCGGCCCAGCCGAGCTCAGCACATCTCAGCCGGATCGCAGCTGGGGAGGCCAGCAATCATGAGAGGGGGAGGGTATTTGAAAAATCTTTGGAGTTAGCAAAACTGAAAGGTTGCCCTGCTGGTGCTTGTCCCTTTTTTTTTCCCCAGCTTAGTGTCTAATTCGGGTATTTCCAAGATTCTTGCCCTTTCCCCATCAGAAGTGGATCAGGTCTGGGGCCACTGTCCTTTGCCCTGAGTCATCCGTGTCCCTGGGGCTTTTTTCTCCCTTAGAAACAAAAGGTGGAGCTTTGCCAAGATTAAATGGCATTCCTTTCAAAGCCTCAAGGCTGGCTCAGCTCAACACGCACAAGAGGAGGCCTTTGAAGGTGCTACAGCTAATTTTCCAATAAAGCAGAACTCTTTTGGACTGAGGTCAAAAGAGAACCAACATCTTCCAAATTCAGGTCCTAATCAGCTCTGTAAAAAACGGATTTTTAAGCCAAGGCTTAAACTTGTGCTAAAGCCTCAGATTTTAAAAATGCTTGAAACTAGAGTTGGGAGGTGACGAGGTGTGGTAAGGAACTGTGCGGGTGGGGGAAGCACTGGTGTGTGGTTTTGCTTCCAGTCTGAAGTTACTGAGTTCAGGAGTTTGTATACTCTTGGCCCCGTTGGCGAGTATGCACTGAGTGCATCTTTACAGCGAAGCTCAAAGTGGCATTTGGAGGGGTGTGACACGGGGTTGCTACCCTTGAGTGAGTCACCATCTCACCAAGAAGAGGAGACCAAAAATAAGCAAAGATCTGCATATAAAGGGCTTGGCACATGGTAGGGGCCTCTCAAAGTGGTTTCCTGTCTTCTCTTTGGGTTATTGGAGAGGAAAGTGATGTGACCACTAGAGATGCTCTTGGGCAGAAAGGAGCACATTGACCATGCAAAGGGCAAGGTCACTGAGTGGCCAGCAGGACTGGCACGGTGGAAGGTGGCCGGGGTGGAGGGTGGGGGGGGGAGGTGGGCCACGATGAGTGAGAACTAGCTGGTGAAGGAGAGGGGGGCAGGAGGGGAGAACCCAGCCTTAGAGTGGTGAGAGTGAAGGCAGAACAGTCAACCAGGGGCCTCCAGCACCAGGCCGAGGGCTTGGCCTAGCCCAGGTTCTAGATGGGACACTGGACTGACAGCCATGGATGTGTGTGTGTGTGTTTTTGCTTGCTTTTTGCTTCAACAGGGATTTATCATATAGTTCAAAAATCTAAATTTGAATATTTGTGTTGGGGGAACATTTGCTCTGCAATTTTGAATTTCGCTTTAGGCCCCACCCCTACTGATCACCCGATTCATACACTCATGTTACCTTCCCAGGCCCCGCAGGAATTTGAGTTTGTGGCCCCAGCCCTATAGGTAACAGGGAAATTGGACATTTTCAGAACGGTGGAAATGTTGTTTCAGAACTATCACTCATATATAGGGTTGCCAGATAAAATACAGGTGCCTGTTAAATTTGAACTTGAGATAAAAAAATTTTAGTATGTTACGTCTCATAAGATAAAAATTATTCAATGTTTTTCTAAATTTCAAATTTAACTGAGCATCTTGGTTTTTTGTTTTGTTTTGTTTTGTTTGCTAAATCTGGCAACTCATATCAAATTAATGGGAGGAAGCAGAGGATGGGGTCAAACGTGGAGGTTGTGCAGTAGCCCCAGAAAGAGATGGATGATCCACTCCTATAACGGGGCGATGGCTGGACTGGAGGTGAGCAAGGTTCCAAAGCTTGTTTCAAAGCCTGCTTAGAGATGTGGGGTGAAAGCAGAGAAGCAGCCCAAGAGTTACAGAGACGCAATTCATACTATAGCTCCACCGCTTAGACAGGATCCTTCCAGCCTCAGTTTCCCCATTACTGCCTCATAGTGTGTCCTGAGGGATAAAGAGATAATGAAAATGCCTTCTAAGCACTGCACAACCGTGAGTTGTTATCATAAAGGCCCCAGCCGAAAGCCATGGCTCTTCCACGCTGTCCTTGCCCCACTATTTTGAACACAAGGGTAAATGTCACCTTGTTCTGTGTCCCCATTGGCCCATGCTGCTTGGACTTACATAGTTCCCCACTCTTCCGCGTGGGCGCTTGCAAGTACTCAGTTTCCTGTCCTTGGCAAATCTGATGACCTTTCCTCTGCTTTTTTAGCGAGCCATTGGAAAAATGCTTATTAGGGCAGAGCTGGGCACAAAGCCCAACAGCCAACTAGAAGCTCTGCCCCCCAGGTGGCCTTCAGTCTATGACCAAACACCCTCTGGGTCCTGTCTAATGTACCTGTACCACACCTGGCTTCTCTGTGCTCAACCATCAGGCAGAAACTTGCTCTGCAGGTGACATGAGGCAGTGGGCCCTGGGATCGACCCTCCCCTCTGCCCCTTTCTTTCTTTCTTTTTTTTTTTGAGGAAGATTAGCCCTGAGCTAACTGCTGCCAATCCTCCTCTTTTTGCTGAGGAAGACTGGCCCTGAGCTAACATCCGTGCCCATCTTCCTCTACTTTATACGTGGGATGCCTACCACAGCATGGCGTGCCAAGCAGTGCCATGTCCACACCCGGGATCCCAACCAGTGAACACCAGGCTACCGAAGTGGAACATGCACACTTAATCGCTGCACCACCAGGCCAGCCCTCCCCTTTGCCCCTTTCTAACTCTGTGACTTGGGACAGATCATGTGGCTTTTCCATCCAAATATAAAGTTTCATTTTATTATTTGATATCCTTTTATTTTAATTGCTTTTCCTTTCTTCATGTCAATTTTATGACTAGTGCTTACGCTAAAAGTGTCTAAACAATTTCTGAGCTACAAATGATGGGGCATATGATGCTCTCCCTCTCCTGGATGTCTTCAAATCAGCTTGCCCCTGCCCTCAGGGAGCTCTGCTTCCTTCTACTCACTCCCAGACATGGGCTCCGGCCAGGACGCTGCGCCTTTCTTTGGCCTCTGTTGCCACCTGCAGGATCGTTCTGGGGAGAGTTCAAGGACCCAGGATGGCAGTGGGAAAAGAAGGCAACAGTAGCACGAAGTCTTTGGGCTTCACCAGTTGTCTGGAGACTTCACAAGGCACAACCTCATCACCTTTCTGGAGCTCAGGCTCCAATATTTAATGAGCTGGCTGACTTGGGGCAAGTCACTTCTTTGAGCCTATTTGCTCATCTCTAAAACAGTATTTGATATCCTTAAAATTGCTTTGAGAGTGATTATTGATGGATCAGTCATTCATTTATGTATTCATGAAGCAAACACCACATCAGATACAAAGACATGAAAGAAATAAGAAGCTTTCCTGGAGAAAATCGCAGTCTTACAGAGGTATCCATAGGAATACCACAGTATTCCAATCCATCGGAAGCTGTCATTACATTTTGACACATGCTCCAACAGAGGTATGAACAAAGTGTCGTAGGAACTAAGTAGTGACTAAGTCTGTCTGGTGCAAGCAGGGAAGGCTTCACAGCAGAAGTGACACATGAGCTGGATTTGGAAAAACACCAGAATTTGGATAAACACACAGAAGTTGTTCACCACATAGAGAAGAGGGGAAAGTACATTCCAGAGAGAGGGAGCAATGAACCAAAATGCTTTGACCTAGTTTGTTCTAGAAAGTTCCAGAGGAGTAACTGAACTTTCAGATCCTGCAGCAGGCTTGGTAGGAGAAAAGTGGGAGGAGAAAGAACTTTTCCAACTTCAAAGCGAGGAGGCAGCCACTCACTTTGCCTACGGTGAGGCCCAGCCCTGGCAGGAGTCTAGGACAGGAATGAGGAAGACGAGCTAGAAGGTTGGGGAAAGAAGATTCAAGTCAGGATCAGGAGATCCGCTTCATGGCCCAGGCTCTGCCACTTGGCCGCCATGTGACTTGGCTGAGTTAATCATCCTTTCTATGCTTCAGTTTCCTCATTTGCAAATGAGGATAATAACACCCACCTTGGAGAGCTGTTTCGAGATACAAGCAAAATCGTTAACGCAGTGCCTGACACAGACATGCTCAAATATGTTAGCCACCGGCATTACTATGAGATGTGTGCCTCAAGGAAGTTATTCCACCTCACCAAGCCCACTTTTCTCATCTATAAAACAAGAATAATAGTGTTTGCCCTGAATGTTTCAGGACTTAACTGTGAAGATACCATCAAGTAATACAAGCGGTTAACTTCCTATAAACCTGAGTTATCATAGAGTACAGAATGAAATAATCAAACCTACATTTGTAAAATCGACTGAGTGCCTACTATACATAAGGCATTTTCACTTTCATTACCTCATTTAACTTTTCCTGACAATGACCTTATAAGGTAGGTATCCTGTGTATGTTCATTTTACATGTGATGAGAGGAAGAGGCAGAGAGATTAGGTCCACTCATTGAATAGATGTTCTCTGGGCAGGCACTGCGGATGGAGCCCTGAACAGGGGAGGATCATGGGAATTATAGCCGAGCAGAGGGAACAGATGTGATGTGCATACTGGCAGCCCAGGTTCAGTGCCTAGACTCCCTGCCCTACTCACTCTTTCGGTGGTCTCTCCAGCCTCCCAGCATTCAGCGCCACCTCGGTGTATTCTGACAACCCCACATTTCTATCTCCAGCCCAGCCCTCTCCAGACATGAGCCTAGTCACCCTCTCCACTAGTTTTCCCAGTAGACACTTCAAACTTAATACGTCCAAAATTAAGCTCTTCTATAGCTTTTCTCCACAGTCTTCTGGTCTCAGTCCGTGGCAACTCTATCCTTCCAGCTGCTTGGAGTTATCTTTGATCCCTTGAGATCTCTACATCCCACAATCAGACAAGAATCTTTTTTATTCCATTTTTGAAAACATATTCAGAATGTGACCGCTTCTCTCCACCTCCAGCACTACCCCCTGGCCTGAGAGAATGCCCCTTCACCAGGATCGCTACTGTGGCCTCTGTTTTGTTCAATTATCTCCTACAGTCTATTCTCAACACAGCAGCCAGCACTATCCTTGTGAAAAGTAAATGCCCATTTGCTGTTCAAAACCCACGAATGGCTCCCCTTTTCTTTCACATTAAGGCCAAAGTCCATGAAATGTCTGCAAAGCCCTATACAATTGGCCCCCTTCCAACAGATAGGATTTAGTTATTATATTTATTGCTTTTTCTCTGTCTGACTACAAGCTCAGCAAGGGCTCCTTTATTGGCACATAGTGGGCACTCTATAAATGTGTGCTGACTGGATAAAATGACTATACAAGCATTTAACTGCATAGTGGTAAGTGCCATGAACAAGATGTACCACTGTAAGAAGAAATTCATGGGGAGAGAGCCAGAATTCCAGCTGGATCTCACAGCTCCAAACCCAGAGCTTGCTCCACTAAGACGGTGTGCAACGAAGTGCCCGGCGCAAAGTAAGTGTCTCCATGTGCTAACTGAATTGGGATCTGAGGTGATTTCAGGAAACAGGGAAAGCCCTCCCTCACCCTCTTTCAGAAGCTGCCCAGCCATCTCTCTCTCCCTGTCTCTCTAGCCCCCGACATGCGCCGGTGCACACACTCACACTCACCCTGCCTTCCCTGGCCTGCTTTCCTCAGGCTGGAGACTGTCTCTCTTTAAAATGTAAACAGTTTTCAGGAGGAGGAAGAAGAGGACAGTCACCTGGACAGAGCCAGTTCACACTGGCTTTGCTAGAGATAAGACGTATGGGGCCAGCTCCCCCTCCGTCCTGCTGCAGGCGAGGAGAGGCCAGATCTACTGGATCACGCCGGACGCCTGAGGGGAGGAGGAAGAAGAAAGCCATGGGTAGGAACGGCTGTAAACAGTAAAGACACTAAGTTCCATCTCCCTAGTTAGGTAGGGAGCGAGGAGATGGCCAGGGGCGCTTGAGAACTTGGAATAAGGTTGCCCTCTGCCGGTGAACCTACCAGATCAGCTCACAGAGGAAGAGCGCCGAGACGAACGTGCCCGACTAAACGGTAACCCGACGGCACGTATTAACACATCCCAGACGGGGCGCATCGCCAAAAGGGGGTACAGGTCTGGGTAAGGGCGGGCTATGGGGCTCACGGAAGTATCTGGTCACATTGAATTGGGTCAACAACCTGTCTGAGCCAGATGCCGCTGCACTTTTGAGTCATCTGACGCCTCTGCTCTGAATTTATCGTGCTCCAGCAACTTCGCCTGCTCCAGCCTCCCTTGGGGCTTGCCTCCAGGGAGGAGAGGCACTCCTCGGGCGGATTCCCAGATGTGGACCCCCAGCAGTCCACTCTCGGTGTAAACTAATAAATGGTCGTTGGCATGGTTAGCACCGCCCAGTGCTTCCCCGTCAGGTCATCAGAGTGAAACATCAAGGGTCTGCAGGGGCCCAGGGCTGCCGGAACCCACCTCCGCGCGCTGGCCCGAGTAGGGTACTGAGAGAGCGGCCCTTCCCGGGATGGCATCGGGCCCCACTGGGCTCTTCAGCGGGTTCAGGGCGGCCCAGAGGGTAATGCAAAATTGGGTAGATGAGAGTGCATTTTTGTGGGACGAGTCTAAGGTTTCCCTCTGCCTCGCCGGGGCTCTCAGCCCGAGGAAGGGAAAGAATTGCGCCAGGAGGAAGGACGGGAGGTCCGGCCAGCGGGAAGGAACCCTGTTCCGCCCGGCCTCTGTCTGCTTCTGTGGGCTCATCCTCCCCGCTGCGGCCAGTGTCACCAGAGATGCAGGGGGAGCTGGTGGGTGTCGGGAGAGTTGGGGTTGGGGGAGGTCGCCACGGTCGGACACTCAGCCCCCGACTCACGCAGGACCCCCGGATTGGGGCGGCCGCCGTCAGGCTCCAGCCCACTGCCCTCGCAGGGCGGGCCACCTGGAGGCGGGCCACCTGGAGGCGGGAGGAGTCGACAGCGATCATAGTGAAAATTCTCTCAAACCCGGCTCCCTCCTCCTTCGAATCCGAGCCCTGGGAAGGGGCTCCGAGGCGCCTTCGGACTCCCCAGGCAGCGGAAACCCCAAGACAGAGACCTCGGTGACCCAGACCCCCTTCTCCAAGCCGAGAATCCCTCTGCACCACAGCTGGCGCAGGAGTGAGGAGTTGTCGAAGGAGGCGCCGGGTTTCCTCGTAGATGGGCGTGTTATATACAAGGGTTTTTCCTCCGATCGCAACCGCAATACGACCAGCTTTCGGGACTGAGCACCCGCTCAATCTCCCGGTACTGGAGTCGGGTAAGGGTGGGGTGACGTTTGTCCCGGTTTCGGTCCTGTGCGTCATAGACACCAGCATCTCCTCTCTGAGCCGTAGGCAACAGGCTGAGCGGGGCTCTGAAAGGCGTGCAGTCGCCTAGCAGAGGGGGCGGTGCGGTCACCTGGCCGCCTCCCTAGGGACGGCGGAACTCGGTGCAGCCCAACCGCAGGCAGGCTGGACAGACTCCATCCAGCCCAGGAAAAGGAGCGGCTTTCTCCCCTACCTACCCTGGCGGAAAATAAACGGTCTCTGGCGTTTTCCTGCATTCCTGACGTTTGACAAAACTATTGTTGGAGGTTGGCCATTGTGGGCGGGGATGGAGGACTTCTCACTGGGAGCAAACCCGCCGGTCCCCAGGCCAGAGCGGAGTCAGCGCCTGCCCCAGGCAGCCCTCCCGGCACAATGCCCCTTTGTGGCCCGCCGTCCCGGGGCTGATGCTGCCCCTCCACGCTCAGGGCTCCCTCCGCTTCGAGGATTCTAAAGATAGCCACTAGCCTCACTCTTCCCTGAGGTCTCGCCTGGGAAGAAAACAAAACAGGCTTCCTAACCACTGCGAGGGAGTGGAGGGGTGGAGAACTTTCCCTGGGCTCTGAGTGCGTGCCAGCGCTCCAATGCTCCCTTACAGCCCTGTCCGGAGGAGTTAGCGCCCGCAGTTAGCTTATGTGCCTCGTGGAAGGTCCTACAATTGGTAACTGTCAGATGGGATCTCAAACCCAGTGCTGTCTGACTTAGAGAATTTGTATATACATATACATATGTACATACATGCTTGTATATACATTTTTTTCTTTCCACCACCCAGGGTTGAGGATTAATAGTGTTTGGCATTATCCCCTTTCCATCTAGACCCTTCAAAACTGTGGCTGGCATTTGCTTGACTCCAGTAAGTTCCACATGCCCCCTCCTTCAGCCACCTCTTTCTTTACCTGACCCACCTCCTTGGTTGCTTGGTAACACTTAGGGTCACAGTGTGACGGTTCAGGGGGCCAGCCTCATGCGCCCTCTGCCTCCTGCTTTAGTTCTGAGAGGACAGTGCCTTGGATGTGCCTCCCCAGTGGCCCTCTCCTCTGCAGCTCTGGCTTGTCAGCCCTCCCTCCACGTTCCTGCCAGTCTCCAGCCGCATTACCAGGACTTGGGAGGAACTGGTCCCTCCCATACACTCTGCCAGAATGGCAGAACCTCAGAGGTGCTGTGGATAATGGTTACCTCTCCGCTTTGAGGAACTCTTGGCAGCATCCACAGGCATCCACACAGGCTAGAGCCAGTCCCGGACCAAGGATGATTGCCAAAGGCACAGGGCAGTGGATGCTGACTTTGGGGTCGCTAAGGGTCCGCAGATCAAAAGTGCAGACTGAACAACCCCTGGGGTGAATATTAGCAAGGGGGTGTTGGTTAATTTGGGGGAGGCAAAAATGAGGAGCTTGCACTCACAGCTCCATACATTACAAAATTCTTCTCCCACCCCTCCCTTTTCCTGCTCTCCTCTTCTATTTGCATTGGCTGGGGACCACTTCTTCTTGCCAAATGACTCAGTACAGATGGGAAGTGTAACTTGTTTAAGAGAGGCCTCAATGCTATGTGGGTACCAACACTCACAACGCAAAAACTAAATAAAATAAATAAAAGTAAAATTCCAAGTAGTGGATAACTTAGAGATCCATGCAGAATTTGTGTTCCCTACTGGACCCCAAATGTTTGGATCAACCAAAAGCAAGGCCAGGTCAGTTTATGTGGGGCTTATGGACATCAGTAACCTTGAGGCAGGAGGATCAAGTGAAGAGTGTGTAGGCTCCAACCTCGCTTAGAATCCTGGTGTGGATACTAGCTGTGTGATCTTGCACCAGTTACTCACCCTCTCTGAGCTTCAGATTCCTTCTTCCATAAAAATAAAAATAATAATTCTTTATCTTGGCAGGGTTGTTGTGAAGACTAAATGAAATAATGTATTTGAAAGTTCCTGATGTACAGGAAGTGCTCAGTAAGTATTCATTCCATTGTTGAAAATTCTATTAGAAATGAAGCCAAAAATGATTTCTATAATCACATGTCTAAAAACATCCAGAAAGACAGTCCCTGAGAGGTCTTTGGGCACGTCAAGCAGGATCTGGAGCTATTTAGAGAGGAAACGAGAACCGAGGCTAGAGGGACTTATTTCTCCCTGGTTTCTCACAGTTTGGGTACAAAGAGGGGAAACACGGTGTTCTGGCCGTGTGAGTATGTTTTGGCAACGCTTTTGTTTTTTTTTTTTAAAGATTTTATTTTTTCCTTTTTATCCCCAAAGCCCCCCGGTACATAGTTGTGTATTCTTCGTTGTGGGTTCTTCTAGTTGTGGCATGTGGGACGCCGCCTCAGCGTGGTCTGACGAGCAGTGCCATGTCTGCGCCCAGGATTCGAACTAACGAAACACTGGGCCGCTTGCAGCGGAGCAAGCAAACCCAACCACTCGGCCACGGGGCCAGCCCCTGGCAATGTTTTTTAATTGTCCCCCTTTTCTGATAAATGTGTCCAACTCTAGTCTCCTCCCTTCCCACTTCCCTTCACTCCTTTTCCTTCTCTCCCACACCCCTGGGGTCTCGATTGGTCCTTTTGAACCTCAATCTCCTCATCTGAAAAGCTTGTAATTATGGTAACTCACAGGGTTGTGAGAAGGATTAGGTGAGATAACATATATTGAATAAACCAGTCCTGTTTCCCTTGAGTTGTCTCATCTCTTCCTCTTCCCTGTTGACTTCTAATTCTCCCTACTTCTTCTTCCATTCTCCACAGATATTGAAGGCGAGGTTGGATCAGGCACAGACCTGAGGGATGGGGTCTGGGAAACCTGCAATTTCTTTATATCATTTCGTCTGCTTTGGACCCTACCTTTCAAAGATGACTGTCGTTATGATTGGCTGTTAATATCTTTTCAGCTAACGGTCTCCCACCACCAGCCTCTATGAGTGAATGGCACCTGAATTATTTACTTTTTGGAACTCCTCGTTGGGGTGTGTGGTCACAATTTGGAATCCTAGAGTAAATAAATTCAATACTGTAAGTTGAGTCCACTTGGGGCCAGGCCTAAACTCAACAACATTAAAAATGTACCAGCTGCTCTGAGGGTTCCTTGGGCAGGATGCACGGAGGAACATGCAGTGTTCATCTTAGCACTTGGTTTGGGCTTAGAGGCCAGGCTCCTCCTTTTGGGGACTGTCTGGGAGTTGGCGCCCAGAACATTCTCATGTCCTGCAGGAAAGCCTCTGCTGGTCCAGAGCCAGTGCTCGTGCCCTCACACATCAGTGGTCCCTCCCCTCTGTGATGCTGCCTCCCTTTACAGTTCAATCTGGATTGACTGCTGGATGCATTTGTTTACTCAGCAACCATTTACTGTGATGCCTGCTGTGGGCAACGGGGTGGCAATAAAGGTTCAGACCCCTTGCCCTCTATTCGGGCCCATGCTGAAGGGCTATCCCAGTGTCAGAGCTCACCGTGGGCCTGCTGGGCCCTTTGTTATGCTGCATCCTAGCCCACCTGTTCCTTTGCCCCATCCTGCATCTTTCCCTTCCTTTACAGCTGTTGCCCCTGAGCACACCTCAACTAACTTCCTTCATGTTTATCTCATCTGAGAGACTGATTTCTGGGGATTCAAACCTGCAACGGGGAGCTACATGGAAAGTGGGCCGAGACACACCTGTGTTCAAATCCTGGCTCTGTCACTTGGTGGCTATGTAGCTTTGGGCAAGTTATTTATTCCTTCTAAATTTAATTTTTCATCTGGGGAAAGAGATTATTGTGAAGATTAAGTGAGTTTATATATGGTGTACGAGTACCTGGACCACTGAAGCAGCCCAACCAACGTCAGTTCTTCCTTCAATAGGATTTCTCAAACATAACATCCCACATCCCAAATCCTACTGGAACTTATATTTCTAGTTTATCAATTTTAGTAGAATTTATGTTTTTATATTCCTGAAAATAATCCTGCATCTTAGAGAAGGGTAACTCTTTCACTGTTAAAGTTTTAGAACGCTGTCTTAAGCGAAGTATAATGGTTAAGAAATCAGAGGGAGTCTGGATTTGGTTGACCTTAAACAAGCAAGCTAACCATATAACCTAGCTAACCATTGCAAAATGTCCTCACCTGCAGAATGGGACGTCATAGCCCATCTTTGTGGCAGATGGTGTTTGCCTTAAATGCCTACAGCAATATTTCCCATCCCAGCTGCTCTTCTGAAATGACCTTGCCGTTCCTCCATTAATAGATGGAGTCTAATTCTCATCCCCCTGCATCTTGGGCTAACTTCAGTGACTTGCTTGGCCAGTAGAGTGTGGCAGAAGTGACATTCTGGGACTTCCAAGGCTAGATCATATAAGGCTAAATCACTTTGTCTGGGCATCTTGGAAGGTTCCCTGTTGGAACCCAGCCACCGGGCTGTGAGAAGCCCAAGCAGTTGGAGAGGTCACAATGTCAGTGTTTGGTTAATGATTAACATCAACTGCCAGCCAAGTGAGTGAGCCATCTTGGGCGTCCAGCCCCTTTGGGCCTTCAGATGCCTGTGGCCTCAGCCAACATCTGAGTGCAACCCCATAGGACCCCCAAAAAGATGGCCCCACTGAGCCCAGTCAACCCATAAACCATGGCAGATAATAATAAACTGCTTTAAACCTTAACTTATGGGGTGGTTTGTTATGCAGCAATAGAAACCAGGACGCTACCTCCTAGGGTGGTTGTGAAGATTAAATGAGATGATGCATGCAGATTGCATAACAAAGTGCTCTGTAAATGATTACTACCCTTGTAGAAGAGGGTAAGCTGATGATGTGGGGTGATAACACAGGGGTACAAAGGACCTCAATACTACCCGGGCATCATCTGATTTAATATTCGGTGAGCACCTGTCACATGCCAGGCTGTGTATACAATCATAGAATCTCCGAGTAGAGAGGAATCTTGGAATTCTTCTAGTTCAAACTCCCACCCAGTGAGGACATTCTTTCTTGAATGTTTGTTTAATCCAATGATTATTTATTAACCCCTGCACTGTGCCAGGAAGTGTTGTTGATGGGTAATGCTGGAAAGTGGGATAAAAAGATGACTAAGACACAGTCTGTTGCCAGAGGCAAACACATGGACAGTTTCTGCACAGTGTAGTATATGCAGAGAAGAGGGACATGTTTCCCCCACGTTGAATGAGGTGAGTGATTTCATTGTCGGCCAACTCTGGTAATTCAGCTTGCCTGCGCCCTGGCTCCTGCTGACATATTGTCTGTGTACTAACTTGTATTTTGAGTGGGAGTTCTTGGACTCTTGGTCTTCTTGCTCCATATCCTGATGTCGACTATTTACACGTCCACTTACCCATCTCTGCTCATGCTAACCCTTATCAAGGAAGGCGGATTTGCCTGCACTTGAGCACCAGACTGCAGGCTCTCTGAGGATGGTGCCTCGGTCTTGTTCATCATTAGGGCCCCAACTCCTAGAGCAACCAAAAAAAAAAAAAACGAGAGAGAGAGAGAAAGAAAAGAAAAGAAAAGAACAACCAAAAAATGCATCCCATTACGCGTGGGTTCAGAAAAATGCCAAAGATTCCTTTAATTCAAGTTCACTTCAAACAAAGATAGCAGGGAAAATTACCAGCGTAAGCTGCTTTCTCAAGTTTTAATAGGCTGTGGTTTTAATGGGCAGGTGAAACCAGTTTTTGAAAACTCTGAAAGAGTTCATGTTGAGTTCATTACGGCCAAGTAGTTAGTAGCTGCCACAATCTATTGAGCTATCACTGTTTTCCACATATAGCCACATTTTATGGCTTCTTAAAATTATCTTTAAAAACATTTCACACTCCATGAGCTTCACATACATCTAGGGCTTAGAATTTTTATTTTAAATGATAAACATTAGTTCTGTGTCACCTCTGAAAAAGCTCTTGTCTTCTTCTCTTGAGAAACCAAGAGAATGTAACCCACTGGAGCAGAGCCCCCAGCCGTCTGAACTGGGCCCTTTCTTCTCAGCCTGATTCACCTGCGGAGAGCTCCAGCCATACCTCACAGGTCCAGCGGGCAGGAGCAATGGGCATGAATAGACCAAAGTTTGCCTCGTGGCTCTATAGTTTCTCTCTAATCAAAGTCAGATCCCTTCTCCCCATTCTCTTCCTCCTTATTTGAAAATGTTATCACTTGTTTGTTTGTTTGTATCAATATTTCTCTGCATGGCTGTAATTGTAGTTTATATAAAACATAGTAAGGGGCTCTGTTATTTAGGAAATTATTATATTTTTTGTTGCTACAATGTATTCATATCATTGGGTGGGGGATAGTGCTGTCCTGTATACAAAATCACCAAAGCTTTCCAATGGAAGAAAATATGGGAAATCAGAAGGAAAAAGAAAAATTGGTGGGGAAAGGGCCAAGCTTTTTATTTAAAAGAGGAGGAGGAATGATTTCAGGAACTTCAGGGATGAGTGGGCACCCCATCACTGGGGAGTTGGGAATCACTGTACACTTGGGTCAGTGGGATGTACTCTAAGAGGCTGGGGTGAACCCCAGAAGCTGCAGGATGAACCCCAGAAGCTGGTGGGCCTCTGGCACCTGGGAGTGAACTGCAGTGGTTGGTAATGGACTTCTAGTCGGCTGTGAACACATAGATGGAGGATGACTCCAGGATGTGGGAGGAGACCCCAGAAGTTGGTGGTAGACTCCTGGTTCCGGGATTTCAGGATTAGATCTGGAAAGCTGCAGAGGTTACAGAGGAGTCCAGGGGGCTCTTAGGGTGCAAAAAATGATGGGCGGAAAATTCAGGGCAGTGATGGCTAAAGGGAAAATCTATTTAGCAGTAAGAGTGGCGCTCCTTCACACCAGGACATCCAGTGGTGGCTTCTCCTCTTAAAGGGGAAGTGGAGGGAAAACTTTTCCAGTGTGTCCAAAACATGTCCTCTCTGCTCGACACCTTGGAGGTGATGCTCTTGTGGAACCCAGTGGCCATTGGCAGGTACTTTCAGCACCTATCTGGGGGTTCAATCCTCTGTTCCTAAACAGAAATGAAGCAAGGCAGGGCATGATGCCCTGGGCAGTCTCTAGTCAATCTGGACAAGAAGGAGACTCTGCGGCCCCCAGCTAAATGTCTCTGCTTGGTTATTTGTAGCCCAAAGTGCTGATTTTCATTAGCTTCTGCATCTCTACCTAGACTTTGTCCAGCTCTGGCTAGGCTGCAGACACCTTGGCTGATCTCTGGACCAAATTAGTTTGCTTTTTCCTTTGAGTATGTGTTGTATAACTCACCTTGTTGTTATGAAGGGTCAGATAGAATTTGCATTCGTATGATCCCATGTTATTGCTCATGAAATGTGGAATCTTGTTGATTTCAACGGTCTTTATAGCCAACTTCTAGAAATGCTCTCTGTGCTGCTGGTTGCTCTTTAAGGAGGAGGACACTGCCAAATTCTGGTCTTGTGTCTACCTCTCGATGATGCAAGAAGTCCAGCTTGAGGATCTGTGTGCTTTGTTTTCCTAATAAAAAAAGAAAATTAAAAGAAAGAAAAACCCTAACCAGAACAAACTCCACATGTACTAAGGGTACTGAACAGTCAGTGTTTCCTCTATTTAAAACCTAAGAAGTTCACGGTGCCCCTAGTCAGAACTTCCAGTCCCAGATTCTTCTAGGATCAAAGTTGGTGCCCAGTGAGTTGCTGCTGGTCCAGGTGGGCCCTGTGAGTCAGGGCAGATGTAGCAGCTGGCAGTCTATACCTTATGCCCATATCCTCAGTCACAAGAGTTATACATCCTCAACACTCCACTTGTAGGCAAATTCTTCCACTCCTTTCTTGCTTGTGAGGGTGCAAAATGCTTTGATTCAAATACACTGGGTTTGTCTACTCCATCCTTGTGGTACCCAGGCCAGATATTGAATCTCTTGGGAGGAGCTGCCATGCCACTGCATCAGGACTTCCCTTTCTTATCCCTGTTCTCCTTAACATATTTTTCTTAATAAATTTGGCCATAGGATCCCCTCTCTTGTTTTCTGAGCATCCAATACAAGTGTTCATCTTGTCCAGTGGCTTCTGCATCTCCATCATTGTTTCCTCCACATTCTGTTGTTCTGGCTGACTCTGAACCAGCCCTTTTCCCCACTGAACAGACTCCTCATCTTCTCTACTTTTCTCCTTTGCTCCAAACAATTTAGTTTCAAGTTCCTCCTATAACTGGCTTATCTTAAAATATGGCTTGGGCATTTTAGAATTCAGCTTCAAACTTCATGGTTTCTTTGTCTCACTTCTTGAAGTTCTATGATTCTCACTGCATGTCAGTTAATAACAACTCTGTTTGAGCCCCAGAAAACCTATGCCCAACCTTATTTCCAAGAGACCAACTCATTTGGAGTGAGTGAGGTTGGATTGGAATCAGCAAAGTTGGTCTTCTGTTTCCTGTTGGAGTCAGAATCAGAGCTCCACAGTCAAGGTCTATTCCACAAAGGAGATGGGTCTGAGTCAGAGGTCTTCCTGCTCTCATTCTGGTGGAAAGCAGAGTCTGAGGGATGACTTCTAGATGAAGAATTTATCCAAAATTCCCTATGGCCAGGGAAAGAGCCTTTGAAATCATCCTGTTTCTTATGTCCTGAGTAGGATTTTGCTTGTTTTTTATTTTTCTTTTTTTAATGGTGGACAGAGTCTGAATGGTCTTTATATTTGCTGTCCTTTGGGAGGGACTGATGAGAAAGTCCTCAGCCCTTCCAACGTGAAGACGACTTGCTGGAGGCTCTTTCTGATATCTCATTGCTTTTGGTTCTAGGCAGGAAGTGATGGATATTAAAAGCCACAACTGGGTTTATGACAGGTCTTCCTGGGTTCCAGGGAAGTGTCTGAGGAGTCAAGAGCCCTCCTGGGTTGAGAAGTGTCTGGAAAGTTATGGTAGGTCCTCACAGGGAGAGATGGATCTTGGAAGACATGATTAGTTCTTCTAAGAAAAGATGCACCTGGGAAATGTTGATTTCTAACTATGTTCTATTTGCATTGTTTCTGGGGAGTTGAGAGCTCTGCTGGATTGAGATGTGTCTGGAGGGTTTTAATGGACCCTTCTCAGAAGAGATGGGTCCGAGGTGTTTCCCTCCTAAGATGAGAAGGATGTGGGAAATCATGACCCCTCCTAGAGAGAGATGGATCCATGGAGTCAAGACAAGAGTCTGTGAAAAGATAGGTCTTCATTCTCATTTCCATTTGTCATTGGTCTAAAAGGCCTCTATCAGCTTTCCCATCCAGTTCAGGCTTCATATGCAAATCTCCATCCTCTTCCTCTTCCTCCTTCCCCAATTTAGTAGTGTAGATAGCTCACATCATGATCAGCTCACATCACGGTCCACAACCTTCCTTTTCCTGCCACTGGCCCTGCCAGGCTTCCGTGGCTTCTGGCAACACTTGCAACTGAATTCGAAGCTCTCATTGGCACCAGTGACAAGTGACATTTCAAATACATGACTGCTGAGAGTGGCAGAGCTGCTGCCAGAGCAGCAGCATGTCAGGCCTCTGTGCTTTAATGGGCAGGAAGAAGAAACCACATCAGAGGGTACAGCCAGTTTCTCAGGTCCCTGCTCAGGATGGTGCCATTAGAGAGCTCTGAGGGGAACGCAACAGGGTAAGGGTTCTCTCAGGGCTTCGGGAAACTCCTTCTTCAGTCCATAAGAGGATCACCTCTATTTCTTTTAGGCAATGCAGCTAATGGGATTGAGCTTAGCCATGATCAGCATTTACCTGCATCCAGCTAAGCCTGTCTGGATATTTGGACATTGTCTAAGAGATTGATTAGCATACTTATTCACAGGAAAGAATATTTGTGAAGGTTAGGAAGGTTATGAAGAAATGAATATGAAGGTTAGGAAGAAAATAGTTTTTAGTGATGAGGTCTGCTTACGTTTTCAGTAATTAAAAATAATCTAAAAAGATCTTGAGAGTTTCTTCACAGATCAGCTGCATTTTCATTATATTCAAAATACTGTTTCCCTCAGTGGAGATAGACATAGTTTCTCTTTATTGAACAGTTGATTCCTTCTTTGCTCTTTTCACTGACTCAGTCTAAGCCAACCCCCTAAAATTGTTTTCACTCTGTCTTGTAAAGAAAGCAATGTCGTGTCCTTACATAATGTCAGCATTTGGAGAAATGCCTATACAACATCTAATTTCCCTAAGTGAGTAATTCTCCGTTTCTGTCCTTATGTACTTGTACTGGAGAGAAATGTGTGTTGATGATCAGATCATCTTCCTTATCTTCTTCATCCAACCCAACAGCTTGAAGTAGCAGCAGGAAATGCTTCTCCAAGCAAGAACATGGCTCACAGGGCTGCGGCATGTGAGCTCTTGCAAGAGTATCAGAAGTCTGCAGGTGGACCTCACACCCTGCCTCAACAGCCCACCAGTGGAGCTCGGAAGAAGAGGATGATTGCTCCCGACACTGCTGGCATAACAGAGGCTATTTAGAAAGCACTTTCTATGTTCCCAACAGTCTAAGCACTTTTCATCCATCTTCTCACTCTCACAACACAGTACCAGCCTGTAATAAGTGGATATTTCTCCAGGGTCACATTGTTCTGGGAATGTGTAAGTAAACAAGCTAGGAGGCAAGGACATTTGATGAACTGACCAATGAGACAAGACTTGACCGTGAGTTCCTTGAGGATAGCTTCCTCATCCGATTCAGTTTTATCTCTGCAGACAGAGGCATGGGAAGAGTCACAGGACAGTTCCTGGGCAGTGGTTACACAGGCCCAAGGTTGAAGGGAACAAGAGGGACTTCAGGAGGCAGCTCAGGCTGCCAGTTGAGCCCAAGTCCTTGGTCCTTCTCAAAGGAAGATTGCGTTTTCTCCAAGATGAGCAAGGGACTATACAGTTTTTCCATCTGGACTGTTTTGCTGTCAAACTGTCAAGGCTGTGAGACTCCCCAAGACTACCTAGGCATGTCCCCTCTTTGATGGAATCCACCTCAAGTATTTTCAGGGTCCCCACGATGCTTACGATTGGTGCTACTCAATCTTCATTTTCCTGGAGATGACTCTTCAGAGTCCTTTGAAATCAAAGAACTCACATGGGGGCTGGAATGACTCAGGGAAGACAGGAGGTAAGCGTCTGTCCACAATGATGGGGTTTTCCAGCCAGGAGGTGCAACAGGTAGACCCTGTTCTACAACCTCACCTCTAGTTACAGTGGATAAACGCGTTTATAGATCTGAGTCCCTTCTTAAAGATAAGGGGTTTTTTTGGTAATGATTTTGCATTTTCCCTTCTCAAAATGGGAACTTATGTTATTTTGAAATCCTTTGCCCGTTAAAAAAAATTTTTGACAGAAAAATATGCATAAATAAAATATGTCATGTAGGAAAGATTGCATTCCTAATGTGCCTTTCTATAAACTTATTCCTTTCAAAAAGATAAACTGTGACTTTATGTAACAACAAAAAATTGGCAATGATGTTCTTAGGCATTTTTGTGAGATATGTATATTTTAAGGATGTTAGCTCTTTGGCTGCCATATTACATGTATCAGTCTCCCCAACCATAGTCTGCAAGGTGTACAGTATAAGCACCGTAAAGGCATGTACTTTTGGTCTACCCTCTGTGCCTAATAAACAGCATGGTGGGCATGAAGTGTTCAACAAATGAATATAAACCAGAAACTCTACAAGGCAGACCACCCTACATTTTGCAACCTATCTGATAACACTAATCTTATTTCACAAGGTTTATTTTCATAAGCTAAGTAAAAATATTTGTATTGAAAATCAATCATAAACACCCTCTCTCATCTCCAGATAGCAGACAATATTCTAGAACATAGATCTATGTCTCCTGATTCCTAGCAGAGCCCTGACTGCTTTGGGATTGAAAGAGAATGTCTGCAGAGAGTATCTAAGTCATTTCTTAAAATATTCAGCTGAGAGAGAGTCCCTCTCAGGAGAGAGAGAGAAAGTCTCCCTCTAGACGGAAGCTTAGCTGGTTACACCTGTGGAGCTGGACTGTGGCATGTCAAGACCCAAGTCCACTTACTGTGTCACCTTGGACAAGTTGTTAACTTCCCTAATCCTCAGTGCCCTCCTCTGTGAAAATCCTTTGTAAAAAAATAGATGCCCACCTTAAAAGAGTGTCTAGAACATGTGTTCAATAAATTTTAGATGTTATTGTTTTTATTGTTATCACTATGATTATGATACCAGCCAACTCATGTAAACAGCCAGTCCAGTTTCTGGAGATTGCAGTATCACTCCTCAGACTCATCCAGTTTCTTCCCAATTGAGTCTACACCTTTGCTTCTCCCTTCTGTAAAACACTGGGATAATCATGGTAATTAAAAATTCCTTTGTGTTTATAAGGCATGATCACATCCATTTTCCCGTTTGATCCCCACAATAACTCTGTTGAAGAAAGTGAGAAAGACTTTGTTATCTCCATTTTACAGGTTAGGAAATGAAGGCAAAGAGAGGGTAAGTAACTTTCCCAAACTTACAAAAAACAGAATGGAATTTGAAGGAATATCTTTCTCACCGTGTCTCCAGGCTAAGTAGAAAGAGCTTTGGCAAAATGAGTTGGAACTCCTAGTTGGAGTTCTCAGCTGCCATGTTCCCTGGTCAACACTTCTGGTCAAGTTGTGCTGCCATCACTGGGAGCAGCAGATTGGGGAGCATTTCTCTTACACTTCCTGGGATTCTGGATCCACAGTTGCTCCCTTACCTCTGAAGCCTAAGCATCTGGTATCAGCTTCTTAGCAAGCCCATGGTTTACCAACAAGTGTTACTAGGAGGCAACTGACTGGGGTAAGTCACACTGTCTCTACACATGCAAATCCTTCCAACGAACATCTTTATCTGCTTTAAATATCATCAACACGCTCACTGAAGGCAGCTTTGAAAAGAAAGTGAAGTCACAAGAAGGCATCAGGCTGGCTGGAGTAGATAGATAAACGTTGAGGGTGGAGAGATGCTTCTGTTCTGTGATTGGTCAAAGTAGCTCCAGCTTCCAGGTGGCCAGGCCTGATGCCTGGGTACTGAGGCAAGGGATCTGAGCACTTTGCATCCCTTTGTATTGTGGGACCATCCCCTTCTATTCTAGTCCACAAAGTGGGGAAGGGCTGTCCCAAAGTACCTGGCCCAGGGCAAATGTAATGACCTAGAATCATGGAACCAACTCTGGCTGTACAACATAATCCTATAGGAAGTTTTTAATCAATACTGATGCCCACACCAATTAAATCAGAATCTTGGAGCCTGAGATCCAGACATCAGTATTTTTTTTATAGTTGCATTGATATACATTGTATTGTATATGTTGTATAATTGATATACAACAAGCTGCACAAATTTCATAATTTGATGAGTTTTGATGTAAGTATACATCCCAACCCACCACCACAATCAAGATAACGAACACAGACATCAGCCTGAAATTTCTTCATGCTCTTTGTAATCCTTCCCCACCTCTCCCATCCCTACCACCAGGCAAACGTTGACCTGCTTTCTGTAGCTATAGATTAATTTACATTTTCTAGAATTCTATATTAATGAAATCATATAATATATTCTTTTTCTCTTGTCTAGCTTCATTAACTCAGAGTTATTTGGAGATCTACCTGAGTGGTTGTGTGCCAATTCCTTTTTTTAATTTATTTTTTATTTTTAAATTTTTTTATTAAGGTTATGAAAGTTAACATCCTTGTGAAATTACAGTTGTACATCATTATTAGTCATGTTGTAGGTACACCACTTGACCCCTAGTGCCCTCCGCCCGTGCCAATTCCTTTTTATTGCTGACTATTATTCCATTGTGTGGATATACCATAATTTGTTTGTCTATTCACCTATCACTAAATATTTGAGTTGTTTCCAGTTCTGGAATATTACAAATAAAGCTGCTCTGAGCACACATGAACAAGTCTTTGTGTGGATGTATGTTTTCTTTTCTCTTGGATAAATACCTGGTAGTGGAATGACTGAATCATATGGTGGGTATATGTTTAACATTTTAAGGCTGTGCCAGTTTTCCAAAGCGGTTGTACCATTTTACGTTTCCACCAACAGTGCAAGATAGACATCTACAGTAGTCCCTCGTAGATGACTCACAGCTTGATTTAGGGCACATAATTATGCCCATTAAATATAAAAGGTGTCTTATGGTTTATAGAGCCCTTTCACATTTATCAGTGGACTACATCTTAACCACAGATATTTTGGTTTCTGACTTCTCTTAAAGAAATAGAAGCTCTGGTCACTCTGGGTCAGCGTTTTTACAAGACCATAATCAGCTGGAGCTGAGTAGACAGTTTGTCATGGGCCCCGTCATTTCTCTATCACCTCTCTGACCTGACCCACTTTGCTCATTTAAGTTACTTGCTTAGCTCCTGTAGCCACTTTGGTTTGCTGATCCCTAACATGGTCTCATTTCATTCATATCTATCTGTGAGCCTTATTACTTCTTTCAGGTGTGTATTTCTACTTTGATCTATTATGGGCTGATCTTCTATTCAACATGTAGAGAGCAATTTGTTGGTGTTATTTCTAAGATCTTAGAGGACACCTCACTTTGTCCCCAGGCGTCATGGTAAAGGGCTCTCCTGGGTAAGGGGAAGCTGGTCTAAGACACCCTCTCTTGATCTTTAGCACAGAGCTTCCCACCATGCCTCTCGCCTATCGAAACAATTACTGTGTGAAGGAGTTATTCCCGCTGGTGGGAGAGATTACATAAGATCGTTTATTCTAAGTTGCTAGTGTTGACACAGTGTGCTAAGTCTCCTCAGACTATTTGTATTTTCGTAGGAAACAGAGGCAGGTAAGGGAAGGGTGCCAAGGGTGAGGTTCCTGGCAACGCTGCAGGCGCTGGTGGAGTTATTTGGGAGCAAGGAGCACCACCGACATCTCTTAAATGCTCTCAGGTTAGCTACTGCTGAGGGGAACCCCACTAATTAATTTTGCAAGTCTGGGAAAAAGAAATGCTGATAATGATGATGATGATGATGATGATGACGATGACGTTTCCAGGACTAATCATTCACCATCCTTCCGAATAATGTCCCAGGGGATTTCTCTGACTTTTGGTAACCCACAGACAGGAGAGAAAGTTGATAAACCTTGATCAGAATTCCTGCGACTCAGTGATACAAAAGTGCTTGTTAAAAAGCAAAGATTTATTACGTGCAGTTTGGCAAGACCTTAGAGATGGGCCTGTCCATCCCCTCTTGTTTTGCAAATATACCAATGATGACATCCAGAAAAGGTGCGGTAACTCACAGCAAGTAAACTCAGGACTCGTATGTCCCAGGAGCACCCGCTTTGTACCAGCCTGCTGACTGCTCACCTCCAGGACTTCCACTTCTCTGGAAGTTTCCTTCTAGATGCAGTGAACAGGATACACTTGAGTATGCCTAGTCAACGACTATCTTGGGAAACACACACTTGAGACAACTTCCAGGAACGTAATCCCAGGATCTGGTGTTCTTGGGAACAGATGACTGAGTGGCAGGCCTGAGCTGGCCTTCAGTTTGCAGGCTGCCAGGGGAGGTCTGGGCGTCTCCTGCCAGTTCCCAGAGGCTCACCTGTGACTTTTCACTCTTTGGCACCTCTTTCTTGTTCAGCTCCTATTGTTACATGACTCATATGGTGTCTTCTTTTCAATGCCTAATATTTCAGAGACTCAGCTGACCCACAGGAGGAAAGCAAATGGGCGTGAGGTGTGTGCAGAGCAGTCTACTGAAGGTATGACTTGTTAGCTTTTAAGAAAATAGGACTTAAGGATAGATATGAGGCAGAATTCTGAGGACCTTAAGTTCAGAGCCTTGTCAGGACACAATGTTCAACATTTACTGTCAAACCCAATTTTTGGCTAAGCCATTTACACTTTCTGGATAACTGCTTTAATTTTCATTTGTGTCTACTCACCTACTAAAAAATGAAGCATGCACCAATTTTTTTTTTCTGCTTTATCTCCCCAAACCACCTACATAGTTGTATATCTTAGTTGCAGGTCCTTCTAGTTGTGGGATGTGGGACGCCACCTCAACGTTGCCTGACTAGTGGTGCCATGTCGGCGCCCAGGATCCGAACCCTGGGCCGCTGCAGTGGAGCACGCGAACTTAACCACTCGGCCACGGAGCCGTTCCCCCTTTTTTTTTTGACATGCACCAATTTTTAATAAAATAGAACCAATACTGGAGACTTTCATAATAATAAATCTTTTATTTCTATGATACTTTATAATTCACAAATCATATTATCTCATTTGATCCTTACAAAAAGCCTATGAGATTGATATTTTTATTATCCACACTTTATAGATAAGGAATTAAAGCTCACAAAGGTTTGGCAACTTTCCCCAAAGTGTTGTAGGAGAATGAAGACTTGAACCCAGGTCTACAGAATCCAGAGTGCACGCTTAAAAACAAAGAAACAAACAAAATTTTAAAAGCACAAACCCTATACCATAGCTCTTTATACAAACACTTTAGTGCAGAATTCATGACTAATTTGATCTTGAGCTCCTTTTTCCTTCCAAAGATGCCAGAAATTCTGGAAGCTCTTGTTAGGACATGGCGTCTCCTATAACACTGAGTCATCAAGACGGTTCTAGATAGTGACATTCCAGATCAGAGTAGTATTGTTCTATATAGTACTGGATGGAACTTCTCTTTGCACCCATAAAATTAAAAAAAATATATCTGTTTTTTTACTGAACGTTGGTTCATCTTAGTAAGTGTGCCCTTTTCCTACCCAAAAGAGAATCACATACTCTCTAAGGAAAGAGGACAGGAGCCCTAGACTCCTGCTTTCAAAGTCTGGATGACTGTGGGTGTTCCTGCCAATACTCTAGCCTATGCGATGTCTGGGAAGATCAGATGAATCCCCACAGACGAGAGTACTTCTGCAAACTCTAGGGTTCTCTATCGGTGAGTCTACCATCTTCAGATGAAAAGGAAGCTGACCAACTTTTTCAGATTGGCAAGGAGTGTCCAAAATTATACTTGTGTTTATGAAGGGCTTATAGATATGCACGAGAAACTTAATGAGAGCTGTTTTGAAACATCTTCAGGCATCAACTTCCCTCACTACCACTAAATTATTGTGGATTATATTTCTTTCTTTTCTTTTTGAGGAAGATTAGCCCTGAGCTAACATCTGCTGCCAATCCTCCTCTTTTTGCTGAG